ATACATGCTTCTCCAATGTTCTCTCTTCATAGTATTTTTTCTTAATTATTATTTTCATACTCCTTGTGCTCTTGTGCTTTCTACCATTCTGTGTCTTCCAGAAATTTATTTCCCCTTTCTCTGTCCTAGTTTGATTTTGTACATAAACTGCATTGTATTGGTCTAGGCATGGGTTCCTTATCCAAAGTATTTTCTTGAGACTGTCTTACGCACTTTCCCAAAGTCATTCAAATAGTGGTCCTGCGTAAGGTGCTTCTCTTTCTGTTCTCCTCTGTGGTGCTCAGTGATCCCGAGGGAGTAAAAAGCTGATGCTTTGAACTTGATCTTCCCATTCTATCCAGGCAGTGGAGCCCAGTAACTCAGGAAAAATCAACTAAAGGTAGTCCAATGAACCACATAATGATGGACAACCATCACAATCAATCTTTTTTTAATCTATTTTTAAAGTCATTGATATGCTGCCTCTTTTATAAGTGCTTTTGCTATTCCAATGTGTGGTAAGGGTTTTATACTTTAAGTTACGTAATTGCATTACGTAACTAATTTTATTTTATTTTTGTATGTGTATAATACATATAAATAAAATGCTTAGTCTACATTATAGACTAATAGGCTCCACAATCTAATTTTGAAACACACAGATGGTTATTTGATTTATATGAGCAGTAAAAAGAATTTGACTCCAGAAAGTAGATTTTCTTTCCTCTGGGACCATTGCACGCAGATAAAAAAAAAAAGGCAAGTAATTAAATTATCTTCCAGAGATTAGAAATTTGGGCTTTATATCTACCTGTTTAACTTTTGTCCAGAGTTCCCTGTGAGGCTACTACTAAGATCCTTTTAGGCTTATGGGGAAAAAAAAAGAAAAAAAAAAGGAAAATAAAGAGAAACTATGCCTAAATTTTAAAAGTGACATTAAAATACATAGCACAAGGCATATTAAAGCATAACTTGCAAGTTACATAATATAGCAAGAAAGCACTGTATTCACAAAGTATATTTCACAAGGGTTTTGTGCATGCAGGTGCATTTCAGGTTTGTCTTAATATCTAAATCTCAGTGAACCTTAAAGTAGAGCAATGTATAGTTGACCCTGTTTCATTCTTCTATCAGGCCAGTGATTTCAATTATATTATCACTGATTTACAATATTAAGTGATTGAATTTCCTCTGGTTGAAAACCTGGTACTATTCAAACCCTCCAGGGATATCATCCCAATCTGCAAAGTGGGGAGCAGAGAATAAATGGTTATTGTTATCCAATTTCTGTGTCAATGTCATAATATAATTTATAATCATTTGTGAAAATCATTTCTAAAGGCCCTGACAACTCTTTTTGAGCAAAAATTGCATGAGAGACCTTTATGATGTGGTTAAAATACCAGAAGTAGAGTTGGGAATTTTTTCTACTCAAAATTTTATTCAATGGAAGGTATAGATTTGGGTTGGCTGGGACAATTAGCAAACCAAGGGGAAAGTCCATGGCAGAATGTTGTTTTCACAGGAAATTATATATATATATATATATATATATATATATATAAAATTATCTTTTATAAGTACCTTGTTTCTGTACCTTTATCTGTCTTAGCACTAAATGTTTGGAGTAAGTCATATTTTATAAACTTATTTTTCCAAATACATATTGAAATACATGATTCTGTGGTAAATCTGGCAATTATATACCTACCTATATTTCTAAGGAGTATTTCTAATGCCTTGCATGCATTGCTCAAAAGCCGATTTCTAGCAGCAGTAGACAACTGGTGATTTCTCTGTAATGCTATGCCTCTTATTACCATAGTATTTGATGTCCTCATAACTATTAATGGATTTTGCCTCTCAGCGCTACAGTGAAATCAGCAAGTATCACTCTACCTCCTTAAAAATGGGGAACCGATGAGAAGCATAGATTAAGTGACTTACGTGAAAACCACAGGAAGGCTGTGCTGCTGACAGGAATTGAAATCAGGTGCTATGAATGCCAGTTCAGTCAAATTTTCCATACATTACATTTTTCAGAAGTTTTTCCTAAAGAAATTTGTGATATTTTTTTACTTTTCACATGCAGAACACTTTTCACTTGGTGAGTGCATCATTGTATAGGGTGCGCACTGCTAATAATTGAGTAATAGATACTGTGAAATATTTTGAATGAACAGAGGAGTTAATCTTCCAGTGACAGCTCTGTAAGTGCTAGGTATCTAGCTTAAGTTAGTATTCTGAGCTTCAACTAAAACATTTCTTTGGGGCGATTTATCCCACCTATCTTAGACATCTCATTTAAGTCAGGATAAATTCCCTTACTGGGATAACTGTCTCTTCACATTCTGTATATTTGGAGCCTATATGATTTGCTTAGGTTAAATGTTAAATTTTTGAAGAAAGAATGTTGTATAGGTAATTCACAGTCTAACTTATTTGGATACTTAATCCTTGGATTCAAAAATAGCTTGGCCCAGTGACTTAGGATCAGAATTACTGGTTCTGAGGCACCTATTATGGGAGTTACCTCATGTCAGGTGTCAGTATCTAGCAAATTATCTAATTTCTCTTTATTGTTAATGCAACAAAGCACTCTAAGCCTCGGTTCTTCTCATACTTAGGTATATATCTAAAAGAGAAAAGACAAATTGCATCCTTTCTCTCCCTATCAAATGAGTCTAAGCAACTCATACAACCATAGGTATCATCACTGTAGAAACTGAAATTAAATTAAGTGAATACTACTTTAAATCTCCAGACAAGTGATGAAAAACACAATCACATACTCCAAAGGCATTTATGTGCTTTTGCAACTTTTTTTTAAAACTTTTTTAAACATATTGATTGCGTCAGGACTGTGTGATATGTATGGCTGTGTTACATCAAGAGAAAATACCTCTGAAAGATATAATCTGTCACTATATTAAAGTTGCCAATTAATAATTCATTAATAGTGCTTTGGTCCTTTACAAACCTTTTGTAAATGCTCCTTAATGTAAAGTGAGACATTTTATTTCAGATCGCAGAATACAGCATATAAATCAGCAAATTATGTATGATAGAACATGTATATATTCTGCTATTACATGTTTTAGTTAGTTGCTGAGTTTAACTGAGCTCCTGTACAAGTACAAGGAAAAAGGAAAATGGCTTCTTATGACAGATCACTGGAACAGCTTGCCCAGCGAGGTTATGGATGCTCCCTCCCTGAAGATGTTCAAGGCCAGGCTGGATGGGGCTTTGAGCAACCTGGTCTAGAGGGAGTTATCCCTGCATATAGCAGGGGAGTTGGAACTAAATCATCTTAAAGGTCTCTTCCAACCCAACCTGTTCTATGACTCCATGATCTTGTAAATGTATCTGTGCTTTGAAAGTGGGAAACTGGCTGATAACTAGATATCATGATTTTGCAAATGCACTTTCTGTGGTCTTTCCAGCTATTGTATTGATCCACTCGTTTGTCTTTTATTGCGTGAAAATCGCTGATAAGAGTGCTATAATTATACATGAATTCTGTGCTGAACTCCTATAAAATATCAAACTTTTCAGGCAGAATACAACTTCTTTGTCCGTCTTGCCAAGAGGACCATTTCCTACCTGCAGCTTAAGAAGACACATTGATTCCCATTTACCTATCCCATGTTTTTGTGAATCAAAAGAAAGGGAGAGGTGGCCAGAGCAGTCTCTTCATGACCTCTATTTTAAGTTAGAAACTAGAATTTTTTTTTGTTCAGCTGAGAATTTATAATGGGAATACTGACAGAATCGCAACCAGGTTTTTGTTTTGTTATCCAAGAAAAAGGAAACAAGTGGATTTTCATGAGCAGTTACAAGAGAAAAATTTATGAAGCACTAAATACTGTTGTGAGCGCTGTAACATAAAGTTTGTTTATTTCCTTTGGATCACCGTAAAGTCATTCTGCTCTAAAAGAAAATTCATGCTACTCCCTTTTTCTTTGGCCTTTTAGATTTTCCTGTTTTCATGGGGCTGTTTAAATGAAATTCTTTCATTTATTTCACTCTACAGTAGACCAGATTTATAGGTGAATCTGTAGCAGTGGTTTTATAGCCACTAGGGTGGAACTGCGCCAGTGCAGAGCCCTGGAGTGGATGTGATTTACATGTTCAGAGCATGATTTGGACTTGTTCAGTTTATCTCAGTTTGAAAACACGATAAGTTAGACTAGGGAAAGTTATTGCTATGTCATCAGTCATCTTAGAGTGGGCGTTTTTTGTCTCAGAGGATAGAATGGGTGTGTTATTCAATATTCCTGTATGTCAGTGTGTCCACCATTAAATTGGAGACATTTCCAAAGCCCTCCAAGTTATTGGTATGGGACTAGATGAAAACTGCAGAAACTAAGAGACCACCTGCATCTAATATTATATTAAGTGGATCTGAGACAACTATTTTATCAATCAGTATCATGAAATGTATTTTGAAATGGAAATTGACCAACCAAATTTTGCAATCATTTGGCTCAAAAATTTTATTCTGGGTCTTTCTGTGGATTCTTTTCAATGTGTACACAGCATTTATCACTGTTTGTTGTTTGAACTATATTTATGATGTTTACAATAATTTTGGTATATCAATATAAGAGTTCTCACCATTATTCACAGGAACAATCTGCTAGTCTCTTGATTTTAGTGTCTCACACAGTTTTCTAGTTGTTTAAAAGATAACTGAATGATGCATGTAAAGTGAACTGGAGCAAAATGGGCCCTGGGCAGTCTGATCTAGTGGGTGGCAACCCTGCCAATGGCAGAGGAGTTGAGACTGGATGATCTTTGATGTACCTGCCAATCTAAGTTATTCCATTACTCTATGATTCTATGGCATCACTTTTAGTGATCTACACTGTTTGAAGCATTTGTCAAATAAGCTGAACTTAGTACATAAGCCCTTAGGATAGCTGACTTTGTATGTGGGATAGATTCAAATTCTAAGCTTGTGGGGTTGCTTTTTTTTTTCTTTGCAGTTGGAAGTTTAACACCTGTCTGTTGTGTTGCAGTACAACCGCTACCAGCGCTATGGTGCAGAGGAGTGCGTGCTGCAGATGGGCGGCCTGCTGTGTCCAACTCCTAGCTGTGGAGCGGGTCTGCTACCTGAACCAGGAGTGAGGAAAATTGTATGTGAACCAGGCAATGGAATAGGCTGTGGGGTAAGGACATACATTTTTCTATCAGCTCTGTGAAAAACAAATGCTTTTTTAGGATGTTAGAAAAATTGGAAAAAATGGCTTTTTCTTTTTCCACTGGTGACTCTGAATCGTCCTTTGTAAGAGAATGGGATGCTGTGTCTCTGTAAACTATTGAAATACAGTACAGTGGCTTAGGAACGACTACTTCATCGTGTAGACTATGTCCATTCCAGAATGCTTTGCTTTAATGGGTTTTAGAAGCTGCTGAGTATTTAAAGTAAGAAAATGAGTTGTACAAATAACAGTCCAAACACACTTTGGTTTTTTCTCCTTGCACTCAGCAAAAATGAGCAGAATCTCGACTAAATCATTCGTTATTATATTAATACCACCCTTCTTCATTCATAAATGAGAAAAAGAAGATAAAAACAATAACCGGTTGGTGATACTTCAGTATCACCATTTATTATATATTTTAAGATACACAATGAAAAGAAACACACTTTTAAGTAGAGTCTGTGCACAATTAATGGTGAAATTTTGGAAAACAGAAGCCAACGACACTTGGAAATGTTTTTGCTAATAGGTCATATCACATAGCTCAATGATTTTTTGGCATAGAAATAAAATTACTTTTCAAGAATCAGTCTGCAGAGAAAACAGAAATATGCAAAGAGAAATCTATATATAAAAGAAGCTGTTAAATGTTATGTCAGTGTGACTGATATTTTACTAAGAGACTGTTTCTCTGCTCATGTTACTGAATTCCATGCAGGATGAGAGAAGAGAAAATATCTGTATTTATAAAATATTATCATGCTCCTGCTGTTGTCTTTCTTGTGGAAAATGTACTTTTTATTGCAGTTTTGATGTTGCTCAGACTGATAGCATGGAAGAATAATTGTTTGCCGAAGTAGGAAGTTGCAGTAACTTGTCTTCTCTGAGTAGGTTAGCATCTGTCGACCTTGGTAAAACTTTCTATATGTCCATGCAGTGGTGCATGTAGAAGAGAGTGCTCCCCAGCCTCACTGAGCAGACATAGGGCAATAAAATAAAGCAGAAGGTGGAAGAGTAATAAGAAACAAGACTGAGTAAATGAGAAGAAATGCATCTAGATTAATCATTAGGGATTGTTTAAGAAAGATAAAATCACAAGTAATTTTTACTCTACTTTCTGCCTTGAAATGATGAAAATCAAACTCTGTTTTGCAGCTTCATTCATCATCATTTTGAATCTGCAAAAGCCCTGTGAATAAATTTCACAAAGCATAAAGGATTGGTGTACTGCTTAGCTTAGCAGAGTGTTCTGTTTCCTTCAGTGGAATCCATGTTGTGTTTGCTAGTGACCAGATCTACAGTCTGGAGATTAACCTCACCCTTTGTTTGGACAATGTAATGCCTTTAACGTTATGAGCTACATTTCACTGGGACTGAAATGGGAAGCAAAAGCTTGGTCTGTAAGCCAATTGTTATAGATGTAAAGGTCCTTCCTCAGAATCTGTAATGGAATGTGGTGCAAAAACACGTCATTGAGTCTTTCGTTGCGCCCTGACAAATGATAATCTGAAAGAAGATTCATGGCAGAATATTGCCTGTTGTGAGAGTCCAAGCACTATATATATTTTGTCCTGCTTTGTGCAACTCACATGTGTTTGCATGCTATCCAACTAGAACTTGTGCACAGATAAGGCTATTTTTCCTCTTTTTTTTCTTTTTTTTTTTAATGTTCTTTACAGTGTCTAATGCATAGTGTTGTGGTGGACGGGAACTGTTCTTAGAATTACAAGCGACTGGTTCTCCTTTATGAGAGGGATGAAGGGATTGCTACTTCTCTCAGGTGCTTCTGAGCTTGCTCAGGGTGACATAGTCTCACTCACTGCCTTCCCAGAAGCTACAAGCCCAGAGCTGGGAATGGCAGCACATAGACAAAAGCAAGGGAGCAAAAGGAATGCCCTGGCATCGGAGGGTGATGGCCAAGTCAGCTGCTGGTGAGAAACTCACTGAGCTGGCTGAAGGTAAGGATTTTCCTACAAGGACACCAAAACAATTAGGAAAGCTTTTTATTTCTACTCCATGTTCTGGAGTCTCTTTGGGTGTTTTTTATTTAGAAATTTAAGCTGTGGTGATGCTTTTTTCCAGATAAAACCTAATCATTTTATTGTGAAGGCCTTCCAGACTTTGTGGAATAAGTGTCAGAGAAATCCAGGCTCAGACACTTCAGAGCTCTGAGTTCTTTCACAAGCAAACATAGTGCTTTACAGGCTCAAAGAAGGAACATCCTTTTTGTTCATCCAAATAAATTCAGCAAAAGATGTCTTGCAATATTTACCTCTGCAGCTTAGGTTAGAGACACATTGCTTGTTGAAGCAGCTAGGCAAAGAAATAAGGCAACATGAATCTGGAGATCCTTTGTGAGTACGTGTGTCATCCTGTGAGCTACACTTTAGATGTGTAGAATCTCTTCTGGGGTATTTGAATTTCTGTCTATTGGTAAAGTTCAAATAAGTGATGACATAGACTTAGCAGAAGAAAATAGACCTAACATGAGTCACTCCTTCACCCAAAAGCCACCTTAGATAAATATGTGTCTGCTACACAGCACAAATGGATTGCTTGGGTCTGAATTGCAGTACAGGGAAAGCTAACAACCATCAAGCAGTTAAGGATTTTAATTAACAGATAGGATTGATCAAGGGAGGGAGGGGGGAGAGCTTTTGAAGAGAAAGTTGAGACAGTAAATGAAAGATTTTTTAGAAGCCATTTTAGAAGAATAGAGACTCATCTGGTCAAAGGAGATTAAGGTAAAATAACTGTTCCTTTAATCAGAAAAGAAACTGTGTTCCAAATAGGCAAGGATGTGACCTACCTTGTATAAGAACGAAAAAGATGAACGGGTGACTAAGCCAGGCTAGGATGCAGACTTTTTGCCTATCTCAGTTTTTCTGTGCTATGTAAAATGAGGAACTAGAATCTCTTTTTGCAAAATAATTGCTATCAATGTCTATGGAGAGCAAAATACATCTCCAAGAGAGTGCTCTTAATTTGTTAAAAGGCATCTACGAAAATTAGAGATGGTAGATTTTGCTTTGTCTCAGGAAATTTGGAAACACCAATGTAAAAAACAGTCTAGAGAATATCTAGATAGAACTATACCAAGAAAATGAGTGTCATTATATTTACTCTTTACAGTGAGTTGGTGATATGTATTCAGGCTTTCAAGCAAAGAAACTGAACAAGGAGAGATTTCTTTTGACATAGAAAGTAACATGCTGAAATATTTTTAATGATTGTGAGCAGTCATCAGCCACATCCATGTTGTGATACCATGGACTGACTTCACTCTTGCCTAGTTTTTTGCATTTTTTATTATTAGCCATTAAAATATTAACTGATTTATCAGAATGTTATCATTTTACACTGTTTTTTTGCCTTCATTACTATGCATCAGACCTACGTTACTAACTTTTATTGCCAAGATATAAAAGTTTGACATATTTAATACAAGAAAGCAGCAACAAAACATAGAAGAAAGTACATATTGTACCAGCTGGCCTTAGTACAGGAAAAGCTGTAGTAATCAAGGCGTGCAAGAGCTCTATGAATAAAACATTTTTGTCTTGTTTTATTTTATACTGTGATATTATTTCCTGCATATTTTATATTTAAAGAAAAAAAAAAAAAAAAAGGAGTTAAAAGTAGGTTAGAGTGGAGCTTCAAGGAGGACTTTACTACTTGCTTATTAAAAGTTTGCTTTGAGATATAGTACATCTATAGCTCATCTGTCCTAGGAAACTTTCACTGCTAATATCTTTCAGTGGGATGATAACTGAATAATGTGTGATTGCATCCCAACCCTTTCTTCACAATAGCAAAAACATTTTGCAGCATGCAATATCAGTTAGCTGATCCAAGCAGAGACTTCTGCCATCAATACAAGCTGGGAGATGTGAGGGTAGAGGACTTGGAGGTACTGGTGAATGGGAAGCTGGACATGAGCCAGCAATATGCCCTCGCAGTGCTCAAAGCCAACCATATCCTGGGCTGCATCTAAAGAAGAGTGGTCAGCAGGTTGAGGGAGGTGTTTGTGCCCCTCTGCTCTGCACCCTTTGAATACCAAAAGGAGGGCTTTAAGAAAGAAAAGTTCAGACTCTTTAGCAGAAGCTGTTTTGATAAGTCAAGGGGAAATGGTTTCAAACAGAAAGAGGGGACATTTAGGTTGGACATAAAGAAGAAGTTTTTTGCAATAAGGGTTGTGAGGCACTGGAACAGGTTGCCCAGAGAAGTGGTGGATGTCCTCATCCTTGGAGACACTCAAGTTCAGGCTGGACTGGGTCCTGGGCAACCTGATCGAACTACAGATGTCACTGTTCATTGCATGGGAGTGAGACTAGATGACTTTTAGAGGTCCCTTCCAACTTAAACTATTCCATGATTCTATGATTCCCTTGGAATGGGAGAACTGAGATTATGGAGATAGAGCCTCTGACAGTCTTTCCCCTTTGAGTTTATTCATTCCTAGCTAGCATAGTGTATATAAGCAAGAAGAATAATGTAGTTTCAGTTCCTCTGTGTTTTGTTGATCCCTTGTTCAGGGATCTGACTGCTAACATTACAGCCAAGTGACATAGTTCATGGAAGTCCTGAGACCACTCCAAATTATGCTAAGAGCAAGCTATCATCACTGATTTTTGTGGTCCCCCCAGCTGAAGTTCCAGTCCACAAGTGAGAAAATAACTGTAGTGGATTGCATTGTACAGTGATAATGGAAGTTTTGTAACCTTGCAAAGGCAGCGAAAAATTGGGGTCACTTCATCTCTTCTATACCATATTTACTACATAATTTATACTGTATGTGTAAAGACAGTGCCATTGAAAAATATGAAGATTTCACAAAAAATTATTGTGTTCCAGAACGGGTGAAATTTAAGGCTGCAGACTGCAAGAGTTCCTTGAAAAATCAATAGATGTAGATACCATGTCTTCCTTATATATAGAGTTCCTGGGCCATTTTACTGCACAGA